CAGACTCACGAATTCACACTCTCACACTCGTGCGTCCAATCCTCGCGCTGCACCGACTCACGAATTCACACTCTCACGCCTGTGCGTCCGATCCTCGCGCTGCACAGACTCACAAATACACTCTCATGCTCGTGCGTCCGCTCCTCACGCTGCGCAGACTCACAAATTCACACTCTCACGTTTGTGCGACCGACCTGCGTTTCGCACATTCACGGATTCACTCTGTTACGCACGCCTGCCTGGCCTGGCCCAGTGCAGATTCACGGATTCACATTTTCACGCTCGTGTCTTTGGCCCACCCAGTGCAGATTCTCTCACACCTGTGTACCCGGTCTTGCTTGCAGAGATTTTAAATGTCACCAACAAGGACTCCGGACTTTGTTTTACCTCGGCCCCATTCCAAGTCTGAGGCCGAAGACGGATCACCATTTCGGCTCAGGCGCCGTTTGCTTTGTGTACTCATTGCTGGAGTTGGAGTTGGTGACGAAGCATTCTTTTGACTGCAGGCGTGATTTTGGCTTGGGCTGGAAAGTTTTAGTGATTTTAGTGACCAACATGTTGAGCAAGATTACCTACTGTGCACACGTGCGCACCGGGACAGTGCATGTTGTGGGCACCAGTGGGCTATTATTGTGCAAGAGCCGCGTCCCGGGTTCAGATTTGAGCCCAGTGCAAGGGCAGCCAGATGAAGAATCTAAGAAGTGCCAGAAGTGTTTCAAGGCTGCTTCGCTGGAGCAACCCTCAGACTCAGACAAAGCTGGCAGCGACAAGGACTCTTCAGAGCGCTCAGGCGCTTCCTCGGATGAATCAGGACATGAGCAAAGTGCTCATGATAAGCAAGCTGGCTTGCAATTGCTTCCCCGTTTGCCAACACTGGTGATGGAGGAAAATCCCCCAACCCACGACCTCCCGCAAGGCCGTGCTCAGATGTTGGCTCGTTGCTTTGAAGAACCCTCTTATGATGTATCTTATGAGAGAGTGAACTGCAAGGAGCTCGAAGGGGTTTTGGCATTGGCCGTGATACGCCGCTGCCCACAATTGTTCGATGAGTTAGCAAGTGTGCGCCGCCGTGCTGTGCAGATTGACAGCACAGGTGTCGGCTCGATTCCAGTTTGCCATTATGACTCTTCGCGCCCACCTTGCAAGGGCCTGTTCGGTCGATCCTATAGCGGGGTGGTCCCAAAGCCGCCCGCTGAAGCAGAGTCCCCAGAATCTCGACCTGCCAAACGTGTGAAAGATGGCCCAGCTCCTTGGGGGGATGTGCCAGCGGTTGTACGGGCAGAACTGCAGAAGGGTATTCCAACGCACCTTGCTGGTCGGAGCCTTGCTTCCTTATCGCTGCTCACACAGGCCGTAGCCCAGATGGGCCTGGCAAAGTGGGAGATCCGCCTGGTCGCTCCCGAGTACACAATAGGGAGGGCCATGTTTGAGCACCTGAAATTGGGCCAGCTATCACGCCAGGTGCAAGACTTCATGGCAAACCAAGAAGCTTGGGTCCACGAGACTTGTGTGGCCTTTGGCCTCCAATCATCGGATGCGACAGAGCTTTTTGGCGAGATTGCGCAGGGTGGCAGTGCCATGAACTGGCTGGAAAGACGGTTTGGCCAAGTGCCAAACAATTCCACAGTTCTGGAGAAGCTGTGCGGCCTGGAAGTTGGGATGCGACAGGTGCACCAGATAGTCTTTTCAATGGAATGGTCTGAGGGAGACCCCAAAGCCAGCGCCGAATGTCGTGAGTGGCTCTTGCAGCATACCCAGTACCCAGATGCGGAGGCGTTCTGGCACCTTTACACCAGCTTTGAGCGGGTGTGTCTGTCGCACATGCAGGCCACGGCGCGCAAGCATCTGGTGAGCAAGACGCATGCTGGCATCAGGGTGGACGTTGAGGACAGGGGATAGGCATTCGATTCAGTGTTTTCTTTTGGGGGGGCGGGGGGGGTTGGTCCTTGTGTTTTATGGACAGGATCCCACGGAGCTCACGCAGAGCATTAACGAAAGGCTGGCCAAGCTTCCAGGGATCCGGGCTGAAGCGGTTGCTCTTTCAACTCCGCAGCAGGTGATGGACCACAACATGCAGAATTGGGATGTCAAGTCCAGGATGCGGTGGTCCGACTACATGGAGCTGCGTGTAGAATGTCAGATGCATTTGCAGCAAGGCTCTGCGGCGAGGAAGCACAACGTCTTTGCACGACTTGTTGCTGCCACATTGGAAGACATCATGTACGTCCCACAGGTGGATGACGCTAAGCCGCAGTTTTTCGAGAAGTACGTGGTCGAAAAAGGGCTTTGGGCTGAGCTGCACAAAGATCACCTGCTGGGACCGATTTCCAAGATCCTCGAGGGGCTGAGCGCAGACAACAACAGCAAGCTGGGCAAATCACTGATCGACCCCGTGATGCACAAGCTGCTTGAGGCACCGCGACTCCAGCCTTTGGATTCGGACCATTCTCGTTTCAAGCTGCTGTTCCAGGATGGCATGTTGTTTGACTTCAAGACGATGACCTCGAGGCCAGCCATGCCATCGGATCGCATGCGCCTGACCATGGCTTGCCCATTCGAGCCCTGGGTTCCACCGGCAGGGGCCCCAGACGTCGTCAGCAAGCTTTGCCAGTGGCTTCCGCGCAAGTCCGCCACTTTAGAGGACGACGACCTGGGTGCGCAGATTCAGGCTGACCTGGAGGAGCTCGCCACCAAGCATGGCTGTTCTTTGCTTGCTGTCCTGTTTGACATTTTTGATTGCTGGCACTTCCCCATCCACTTTTTACGGAACGTGGCCATCATGGCGAGCGCGGACCCTAAGTGGAACTTCATCAATTGGTTGGACGGCGCCGGCGGGGCTGCAAAGGACACCCTGCTGAAGATCTGTCTCAAAGCATTTGGGGAAGGGGAGCTTCATCTTGGCATGTGTGAAGCGGGCCGCAAGATGACAGCTGCGGTCGACACTCGTGGCAGCTTCCGAGATTTGATGAAGGCCGGCGTGGGGAAGAGGCTCATGTGGCTGTCAGAGGTGCCCGATAGGAAGCTTATCACTGAGCTTCCCAAGATGCTTTCGGAACAGACGGGGGCTTCCTTGTCGTTGCCCGGCAAGCAGAAACAGGTCTTTCGTCCCATGGGCCTCCTGTGGTTCACTTCGAATTTCGCGCCAACATTCAAGGACGGAGGGTTCCCACGGCGCTTGCAACTTTGGGGGCTTCCCAAATCTTTCACAGGCACACAGGGCACCCATGACGACAGCTTGCGGGAACGCATTGATGCCGGTGAGTTCAATGGGCAGCTCATCTACTTCGCCCTCGAAATGTTCAAGACGCTGGACAAGAGCCTCAACCCAGGCTTAACCTTGACGCCTCCGCCCCCGTCCATGGCAGACGTGATCGAAGAGATCCATGAGGAGCAGTTCCGAGGAGCGGACTCGTTGCAGACCTTCGTGAACGAGAAGTGTGTCAAAGTGCATCGATCCGAGGGTACCCCCGTGAAGGATTGGCGCAAAGCAGCAGCAGCATATCTGGGGGTGGAGTATGCTGCCATTGGTCCGATGCTGGCACCGTGCAACCTCAAGTCAGAGTCTCGTGGTTCGCCTCCAGGTGGGCGCATCATTTCGCGAATGCAAGACAGGCCTCAGATCCCGCTGGATGCGCACTTCGGCTTCTGACGGATGAGGAGCTCAAAGCAAAGGACGTGACGAAGCCGGAGGTAAAGACAGAACCCCGTGAGCCGAGCCAGTCTGCCACAAGTCGCTTTAATCCGCTTGCCTAGGATCATCTAGCATTTGTTTTTTCTCGCGAAGGCCGGTACTGTACAGAATGGCCTTTTTGCTTTATGCAGTTTTGCCTAGAACAGCCACCGTAAACGCCGGTGGGGGTTGATGTATGATTATGGGACAGTGCGAAGCACTGCCAACTGCCCGACTGGGCTACAGAACAGACTGTTTGCAGTACAGACTGTTATGCTACGTGAAAGCTCAGCAGGAGGAAGGGATGCTCCTGACTGGCTAAGTAGTCCGAGTGCACCCGTGCTTAAAATGCAGTTTTGGGCTGAGCACTCATTGCAGAGCGCACGGTTCAAGCTGCAGCACTCCCCGCACCTGCAAAAGCAGGTTCCGTCGAAACGTAGCTTGAGAATCTTGAGCCATACAGTTCGCCGGGCTTGACACGCAGGTCTTGCCCAGCGATGCATGGGAAACATCGGAGTGTCAGCGTGAACGTTGAAAGACTTCTGAATTGCTGTTGCAACACATGCTTTCCAAAGCTGCCTGGCAACAAATGTGCTGCGCCCCTGTGGATCACGCCATCGTGCATGTGTTTGTTTCCTGTGTTGGACAGGTCCGTGTGAGCTGATGGAAGATGAGCGGTATGGAGTAGGGTTTTGCATAGGCGCCATGTGAGCATGCAAATGTGAACTATTGAGAATGTATTGCCGGTATTGTAGTATCTTTCTGCCTGCATGCACCATGTCAAGAGTTTGATCGGCAGAAGCCATTTTGGCTCAAGAATGCTCAAAATTTCAGTCAGAGAGAAAGTCCCCATTGCTTGCCGGTGCACAGCCATTGAATCTCCGCATGGACTATCGACGCGTTGAACCGTCATTCCGGCGGTATGCCTTTGCTATGCAAGTAGTATCTCTTGGATGTCTTGTCCTCTATGCGTCTTATGAGTTTCATCAAATTCTGACGCAACCACCGCCGGTGAAACCAAGCGTGGTTCGCTGGGACACTTTGGGGAAGTGGAGGCTGTGCCCCGGGACCCCGTACCTCCACATTCCTGGCGGTCAACCCTTGACAGTGGGCTTCGGCCTTCGTGTTTATGAGGACCCTGACTATGATACAGATTCCTTCTTGTCGAGCATCACGGTTTCAAAGAACGAGAGCTGCTTGGAAATAGACTGCACGCATGCCGCTTNNCCCCCCCCCCCCCCGCTGATATTCAGTGTTTGCTACGATGCCAGCGGCGCAACCACAACACATACATGGGCTCACCAGAAATGGAACCGCCTCCAATTTCAGAATCCGCAGATGCTCACCACCATGAAGTTCTCAAAGACGAGATATGTGCAAGACTCAGGGTTCGGGACAGACTGGCATGATGCCATCAGCGCGATCAGGGACGACCAGTTCGTCGACGGAGGTTCTGATCACATGTGGTGGTGCAAAAGAAAGCCAGAAGGCAGATCCTCCGGTGCCTTGGCTGGGGTCATCAACATTTGGATTGAGGAACCTACTTTCCACGTGGTCACTGAGCAAGGGGCCTTGCCACAGGTATTGGCACTGCTTGCCAAACTGGGAGGCTTTGTCTCACTGCTGATGACGATTTTCTCCCTCATCTGGGTGAAGAGGTTTCCTAACTCTGAAGTTGTTAACACCTACGAAGCGCGCACGCTTGTAGGACATGCCGCGGCTGAAGATTTGCCGCAGCAGCCGCTGTCGAGCTCTGCCAGCACAATGCAAGGAGCACCACAGAGTAACACTTTAGGCCTGATACAAAGCGAGCGTACAGAGCGCCAGGAATTTCCACGATTTCCTCCAGGTATTGCGGTACCTTCTGGTCACAGACCCACGGAGTAGCAGGATGTCAAAGACATCCCCGTGCAGATCACGTTCAAACATACGAGTAGGGCAGGTGACGTTAATCAGTCAGTTGAAGGGGGCCTCAGGAACATTGCCAGCAGAGCAATAGAATGGGGCAAACCGTTTTGATCAAGGTGGCAGAGAGCCTGGTGACTGAGCCTAGCTAGGTAGTAGGCATCAGAAGTCTGTGCATCTTCTATGTGGGAGTTGTGATGGGCCGCCTTGTGTAGCAGAATCCGATGGAGCTGGCATAGGCTTCATTGCGCAATGCACTCTGCATATATATGCCCCCGAATCGCTGTGTGGGTATGTTGGAATTCGCAGCTTTGCTACTCTGTGGTGGTTGGAGTAGTTGGTGAGTGTTGTGCGTGTGTTCAGTCGTTGTGCGGGTGTGTGGCCCACACTCCTAGTTCGGGAGACCTCGGAGTACTGCCAGTAGAGCAGTGGCCTGGGGCAGGCAATTTCCCGCAGGTGGTTGAGATTCCCTTGTAAGTGTGTAGGCTATTACAGGGAGGAGTAGTGCGGGGGAATTTCAAGTCCATAACCCACTCCAATCGATACCACCATGCATGCAGGGGTTCACTGGAGCTGGCCCTCAGGGTGCATTTTTGAGCCTCACATCCACTGCCATACCACAGGCAGAAACCTGCTCTATGCTACGCTGGTTCCGGGGGAATGTTGTAGTGTAGCAGTCGGTGTGAGGTGCGGAGGCAAGACGTGGGAGGCTTCCCAAGCGTAGTGATTTCCTTGAGGTCATGTTTCAGCCAGTGTTGCTCGGCCTCGCACGTTGTCAATTCATTATGGAAGCCCTGCTTGGGGCAAGGCCCCGGCCCCTCTCTTAGAGAGGGGTAGAGCGGTGAGAAAGAAAGAAAGATGGATTTTGAAAAGCAATCACGCCAGTTTTTGAGCATGTGTCATGTCATTTTGGCCACCTGTTTTTGATTGCAGTTTTGAGTGGACATGCCTTCATGTGGGGAGCTTGATTTTCAGCATGTTCAGGCGGCGCCGCGCAAGCCCGAGAGGAAGTGGCGCCCGCGCCTCAAACTGCAACCTTGCGCCCCTAAACCCTAAATCCCTAAACCGCTCAGCCCATAAATTGCCAGAACCAACCGGCGCCCCCACAAAAAGCCCGAGCCCTTGCCGCAAGACCGAAAGGGTTTTGGAGGCTCTAATCCGCCGGCTCTCATCTGCTTGGAGGCTCTCATCTGCTCACTGAAGGGTTTAGGGGGCTCTCATTTGCTACCTGGAGCGGTTTGGAGGCTTTCGTCCGTTGCGGGGAGGTTTTGGAGGCTCTCGTCTGCTTCCTGAAGGGTTTAGGGGTTCTCATCTGCTGCGCGGAGTTGTGTTGGGGCTCTCGTCTGCTGCAGGGAGGTGTGTTGGGGCTCTCATCTGCTGCGGGAAATTGTGTTGGGGCTCTCACGTGCTGCGGGGAGCTTTTTGGGGCTCTCGTCTGCTGCGGGGTGTTGTGTTGGGGCTCTCGTGTGCTGCGGGAAGCTTTTTGGGCTCTCGTCTGCTGCAGGGAATTGTGTTGGGGCTCTCATCTGCTGCGGGGAGCTTTTTGGGGCTCTCGTCTGCTGCGGGGTGTTGTGTTGGGGCTCTCGTGTGCTGCGGGAAGCTTTTTGGGCTCTCGTCTGCTGCGGGGAATTGTGTTGGGGCTCTCATCTGCTGCGGGGAGTTTTGGGGCTCCTGGGTCCGCGATGAACCCTGGAAACGAAATGCATCTGCAGCCGTTTTCCCTCGCTTCTAGAAAAACGCGGTTCGAGGGGGGTGCGGATTTTAGAAATGCGTCTGCAGCGCAAAACGGCTCGTTTCCAGCTTAACGACTAGAATGCCGCAAGACACTCCACAGAGCTTCAGAAAGAGGGATCTCTTGTAAGGCCTGCTGCAGACGCGCAGAAGTGCAATTAAAAAGTCTTCAGCAAGAGAGAGAGACCCCTGGCAACAGTCAAGCAATCCGCCCCGCAACGCATACAGGGAGCCGTGGCCTCCCGACAGTCCGCTCGCACAGCACAGACTGGAACGCACCGCAAGCACAGCAGTCGCGCTCACCGCCCGCAAGCGACCAAGGGGGAAAAGACCTCCCTCTGGTGCCAAGCAAGCGCATCGCATCGCATCTGATCGTGGTGCCTCTATTTCAAAAACCGCCGCAATAATTGGGCATACGCATGCACACGCACCGCGTGCAGGCAGAGACGCCCCGCATGCAACTTTACGCTCTATGATGTCCAAATCCACATGCATTTTGCGCACGGCTGCAGTCTGTGCAAGGCAGATGATAACGCAGGCGGCAAGAGCAAGTAGCATCGCATGCACGCACTGGATTCGCACCCGCAACATGTGAGAAAAAGTCTCTCTCGCACCGAGCTGCCCGGCTTTCGCATTCACCTGAACCCTGCACCGGCGTCGCAACTTGGGGGCGCACCATGCTTCAGCAAAGTCCACTGTCCTCAGGAGCCAGCGTGGGCATGCGTAACTTCTGCCTTGGAGCTGGAGGTGTCTATTCGTGGTGCCGACTACAGCATTCGTGCAGAGATCTGAGAGCATGATTCTATCTCAGTGTGCGGTAAGGTGTGCGCATCCAAGCTTAACTCACTCCAGTTCCCTTGCAGCAAGAAAAGAGGTCCGCGTTGCTTCGTGTTTGACTTGATTGTGAGAATATGTATGTGTATGTTTGATGGACCTGCTTCTGTGCGGGAGTTTTGTAAGGGTGTTGCTATTTGCTTCGGTTTAGCTGCTTGGTGTGCCTTCTAGAAAACCTTGGAAATAAATCTCTGGCGCATTGTGGTGACAGAACTTCGATGAGCTGACTTTCCATGCTACGTACTGTATGTGCGCGTGGCTGTACAGACAGGTGCTAGAGTGTGCGTAGTTTCACTGGGCAACGGAATCAACTTCCGTCACTGACTTGGTGAGATAGAATTTAATAGCGGTGCAAAAAAGCGTTTTCGAAAAAGTTTTACAATAGCTTCAGATTGTCTGGTGTCTGCAGTTAAAAACACCTTGGAATTGTGCAACTTATACAAGATATTTATTCAACAATTATTTGGTAGTTTGCGACTATTGCAAAACAATTGCGAAACAATTGCGTA